AGAAGTCAGGTAACACCGAAGCCAACTTTACACACAGTCCCTAAGAAAAGTGTCCACATCACTCTACTATACAGAAGGGAGCTGATTAGTATGATTTTGAGACAAACTAACATAAGACATTAGGACAACCTATCACGTAACCCAGCTTATTATTGTGGAATAAAAAAACATATGCTTCACAACAAACTTAATGAATGATTATGTCAGACTGCATCGTGTTTACCAGGTTACACGTGTGTGTGCACACTCATATAGAAATATAGAGCAGTAATCGAATGAAGCAGTTGAGAGTGGGAGAACATGCACCAAAATCGCTATAAGAACAGATGGAGGTGGGATGCAGGTGAGAGACAACCCTCTTTATCTATAGCTAACTATATTATAGAACCAATCACGGACGCACAGTCACATTTAAGGAAGCCACAGCCATACACAAATTGAAACCCTCTTGATGTGTACAAATGCAGTTCCTTCTTAAATTACACCTACCATTGTCAACTCACCAAGATTAAGAATAACTAGATGACTCTTCACATTTATCTTCATCTTTCTTCATTTTAATCCCCTATTATCTTAATTGTTCCATTTCTACCACAATTCATTCTTCGGTTTCATACAAACTGACTTCACTCAGCAAATATGTCATCAGATTGTTCGAAATGTGTATTGCGTAAATACATCACACAGTATTTGTTGGTGTTTGTCATTCTCTGCTGCTACACTGAGTCGCATCAATCGACCCCTGATGGTATATGGGCTCCTATGTGCATGTCTCCATATTGCCTGAATATTTACTGTCATGATTGACTTGGTTATCGCAAGCACTGGAATCCAGTTCACACCTTTCGTAATACTTAAGACTCATCAACTAAATGAAACTGCACTACTGTGAGTTATATTGTTCCCACTGAGACACCAACCTCGTACCCATCGACTCATATCCCACCTCTTTTGTACAACATGTCTCAAATAAGACGAAACGCACTTTCCTGTTCCCACTACTCACCACAATCGAGTCAATCACATCAAACATTGTTCAGCAAAACTTCGTCTTCTAATTACACTATCTCAAGATGAAGACATCCAATCACCTTTGTAAGGAGCTTTTACACAATAGATGCTATAAGAATCTTAAAATGATACACCCAAGTTCTGACTAAAATAGATAGATACTTTTATTTGCATACGCATGAACAAGCAAAAACCACAAACACCAAAGTCTTCGTGAGTCTAAATGCACAATAGTATGTGATTTGTGACGTAGCGGGAGGCATAGGAATAAATTAAAGCTTAACTCAAAAAAAAATGACAGATAAAATTTCGTACCTCCAACAATTCTGACCAACACAGACCATGACGAGGAAGAGAACATCAGAACACGAGTGAGACGATATCTCTAAAGTTCCAACTAACTATACTAACCAATATCCATCCACATAAGTGAGTACCCTGATTTTGATAAACATGTGACCTAAGTATTGTAAATGTTTTGCACGAATTCTAACTTCAAAATACATGCAGTCGGTAACAAAGTAAATGTTTGTTGTTGATAACGCATTATTACGCCTTTTTCAATAATAACGAAACTATGCAGAAGTATATGTTAGATGATGTTACTTTAAACTTAAAGAGTAGTTGGGGCTTGATTCCTACCTGTTTATAATTTGAAGTACAAATCACATGATTAATTGATCATTTATCGGCTATCCCTAGAGCTATATGTATCAGATAATACTATATTCCATTTATTTTAATAAATATCATTGTGATAAATCACATGACCATGTGGCAATAATACGCAGTTCACAATACAGCACGTGATTAAAATCCAAACCTTTACCTAAACCAATCAATAGAACCATTCATCTATTGCCGTTGAAAAGAATTTACATTGAATAGAATCTATATGATATTGAAAACTACCTCGTATTACTTAGACGAAGATCCCACATAACCATCATCATGATGCCCGGGGAAAATTGAAAACACCAATGAATTATTTTGAGCCTGAAGAAAACTATTGTTTAGAAAGGATAACGATCATTTAAGACTACAATGTTTCAACTAACACTAATTGCTAGACAAGAACTTACACGACATGGTGTTGAGGAATGAAAGAAAATATGCTTCATGTTGAGAATCCAACCAGCTGAAAGGGGGAACGGTAAAAGCACTCTTTGTTCAACAGGAAATTAAAACCAACTGCCAGAATGATTTCATGACGCAAAAGTTCATTTCTACTTCAGTCACTAACCTGACGTATCAAAGGCCTGATATCATAAAAGTGAGCACATCGAATTTCATATCATTCCCCACATTTGATCATAATCAAAATCCTGGGTTTTCAGGTCGATTATCTTTTGTAAGACTTGATGAACTGGCAAACTGAAGTGATAGATATGACTTACTACCGAGCTCTCGTGAATGTCAACGTTAAATTTTAGTTAAGTGAGAACATTTCACTAACACAGAGGTGAATGTAAGAAAAAGACAGGCCCGAAAAGATAAAATCTCAGGACATTGTTTTCGAAAACGTCAAAGTTGAAGAATATCCCGAATCCAAAATATTAAAATTCTTTCTTTCAGACATCTACTTTTTATACTCAATTTGTTTATTCGATATAGCCAGTACACAGTGATGCAATATTACTTAATTAACGTTTCGAGCACGAATTGCGGCCAATTATCATATCAAAATCACCTGTCGAAATTCATAATAACTTTGGTAGGATTGTAAGCAATAATTTGTGCTTGAAATGTCATCCGGTAAATCATACTGTATTCCTGAGTTACATCAAATGAACAAATTTAAGGCAGGAATAAATTCTACCATAGCGCATAAGTTTAGAATTTACATTAGGGTATCTACTTTTTCAGAGTGACATCCAAATCAGTATGTATCAGTCGACGTCCACACTATTTCAAATAAGCACATTACTAATACTGGTCAGGTAGCTCATTACCTAAATACATCCAAGCCAATGAAAAATGTAAATATGTATCACAATATTGTTAATATCAGAGTGAATAGTTACTTATTAAGTAATGACATTGTTTTCTTAAGAACTGAAATTTTAATTTCAATAGCTTGTAATCAGCCAATCGTGCTTGTGAAAAACTGATGAATATACCCCCTATACGTGCCTGAAACTGACAGCGAATTATGCTCATCTGCTCTACAAAACTATGAAATTATTTGCTGAATGAATTTCAAAAATAAGCTAACAGTAACTTAGTACTTATTTACATTAAGTGGTCACTACAGGGCAACTGGTGTTATGTTGTCTAGTTCTGAGTGCTGGTCAAATTCTATCAATCAGTTAGCAATATGGTTACCAAGCTAGGAGATTCGGCATCAGGATGCACTTCGATAAATGTTAATAAGTTGGAGGTAATCTGCAGAAAGCTATGGACCTTGGTTTCGTAACTGTAAGATTCTCAAAAATTCCATAGTAAATGTTAATTATATCAACTGGATATCCGTTAAACTCAATTCCAACAACTTTAGAAAATAACGACATAGTGACTGACTTAAGTAACCAGTATGAAAAGGCTTCGAACTGCATAACGTTATTCATTCCTAAAACATCTAGTGGTATCTGTCTAGCAAAACTCCAGGATTTAGGTAACATTTCATTTAAGACTACTACTGATTGTTAGCAAACCGTCCTAGAGGTTTCAGATTCGCTAACGAAGTTTAAAAAGACCACCCCAACAAATAAAGTAACTTCTTTAAAGGCAGTAATCTTCAAAAATGAAACCCTCTGATTATCGTTTCTATCACCTGTTACTCTATCATAAACTACTTAGTATTTCCGAATTTCTGACGTTCTGAATCCTCCATACAATATTTGAAAAAGCGGTTTTTCAATGTCTAAATAAGATGGCATCAATTTAATGAATGCCATATATAACATCTTGTCCAAATCTACGAGGAATGAGTTTCGAATACTATCCAGCTAAAACGACAATTCACAGTGCACTTCACCTTGTTCAAATTCGGAATAAATTCAAGACTGAGTTTATTGCTTAGAAACTCTGATGGTACAGCAAAAACAAACAAGTCACAATACAAGAGGACCATGAAAATGTTAACAGCGTTTGATACTTCAAAACGTAACAATGTCAGAGCCAAGAACTGAATGAGAAAATGAAATAAAATGATAAGCGAGATATATCCACTACCATTTGACAAGCATACAGAAACGTGAGCATACTCCGGACGAGTGAATGGCTTGAAATAAGATGAAACCCATCCTTTCAACCTATACATTATCAAATGTGGACACCCAAGTGTCAGCGGAAATGAGACCCACGACACGAGTTTTATGTACTAGACTACAACTTTCTCGTTAGAGGACTTGTGACACAATTTTGTTGTCCAGGCTGAACAAATGCAGTAGGGATTGTACCTAGGACCCACTAGTTGGAATTCGAGTGCCTAATCCGATGAACCACGCTTGAACACTGATTATTCTGAAATCCTTAAATACCTTACAGAGGGTCATTAAACTATTGGTAGCACAGAGTGTAGTCCATGCAAATAGTTATTTGAGAATATAAAAGATGGGTTTCAACTTCCTACAAAATGGTGATCAACATTACGTGCGCAATGAGTACTTGAAAGAAAATTTGGAAAACAAAACAAAGTCCTGATCTCCACATCGAAATGGTGTGTTTCTTTTCACAACATTTTTAAACAAATCTATAAAATTTTGATAGGGTGCCTCATCTCGTACAAAAAACAAACTTGTATCTAATTCTGAAGGATAATGTGCAAATTGATACATTTGAAAGACTACTGCAATACTTTCAATCAACGCACCGAAGCCTATTCAACAGTGACTATGCATAGAATGCGCGCAAAGAGTTTTTGGACATTTTATCCGCAGGTACTGGCAGAAACCAGCAGAAACATTGTAAACTGATGTTAAAGTTTATTTAGTAAAGAAGAGGCTTTTGAAATATCAGTACAAAATATTAGCGCGCAAATGTTGAAATCAAAGTTTCTTCAACAGTTCAGATGCTTCTGCTTTTGCCTAAATACAAGAGAATTACTCAGAATCAATAATAGGGTTACTTCTTCAGTTTCTAAATCATCCTCCGTAAACTGCAAAACTTTACGGCAATATTCCTTTGCAAGATCATTCCTTTTCAATCTGTGGTAAGTTTTTGCTATATAGAGAGCATTGTTAGCAAGAGCTCCTGGCGCCTCTTCAAAGGATATGTCAAGAAGAAATAGGAGTTACTTTTTTCCGACTCCAGAAGGTAATTGAGTGCCTAAGCAATGAGAAGCGTTATTACAATTACATACCTCCTCATATGTAGAAGTAGGAGGTGTGCCGAAGAAAGTAGAAGCTAGCTTCCGCTTCACCCACGGAAGGTCCGTTACTTCATAGCACCTATGGACTGCTTTTAAGTTCAATGAACTACTCACCATCTGCCGAGAGCGTGTAATGTCCCATAATCATCAGGATCTGCTTTGTTGGCTTTCTACAAAGTATGTGATATCAACCAAGTCTTACCAACCAGTGCTCCTTCATTTTAAACGAGTTCTCTATCCGTTTGTTTAATCCTTCAAGTTGTGATGAGTAATTCAGAAATACAGCATACCACTATTCGGAATAGGTTATTAGGAATGATACAACTTATAAATTAAAATTTACCGAGTTGCACTTTGGACATTCTGGGTTCAGACGGAGTCCTTCTTCACAAGCTGCAAGACCATCTTGGACATACCATTTATATACATTTTTATCTGCTTTCCCAAAAGAATTTGCTGAGCTTTTCATCATCATATTAAGTAAAAATATACCTAGGTCTCTGCATGTTTGAGCCTTGCGCCAGTAAAGATCTGAGTATTTCATGTTTTGATTCAAAGCATTTGACACAACATCGTACGCTCCCTTGTAATTTTTAGCCTCACAAAGTTTCTTCCACTCGATAACAACTCCATCCATCGCGCCGATTACTGAATGAGGTCGAACTAGCTCAACCTAGACAATGGCCTATTTAAACAACATCCTACATTGATAGTGTGAGCTGAGAGAACTGTTAGCTTTTAGTCTGTGACGTCTAGTTCTTGGAGCTCGGTTCGTGTTATTCGGTTTGCCTCGGCGGTGGACAAGAAAATCTCTTCTACTTTCTTGTTTTCAGCTCCGGTGAGGTGAATGTTTTGTGGGTTAGTAATTGCAATTCGTAAAGTTGTTGGGGATCTGTTGTTTGAAAACGGGGGTTCCTTTACATGCTCAGCTACATTCTTGGCATCTTTTGTGTTTGCACATCAAAGGCTGTTATACTTTTGCTGTAATCGGAATATTATTCAATTAAAGTGAGACAGCAACTTTTACTGGGTGAATTGCTCTAGTTACTGCTGCATGATGAACCAGAGGTGTCGTGAAAATGCTTGTGGTAAGGCCAGGCACAAGCTCACAGTGGCTTTTGGCATCCAGTGTAGCGACTGTGAGAGCTGGTTCCACAATTGCATGAGCCTCACCCTCAGCATTTAAGAGGTACAGTAACGCAGGAAAATCCTGGTTCTGCATGTTGTGCTGCTCAAGTGTCCGCACTCTGGAGGAAGAGGCGAAAACACATCTAAACACAATAGCGAAGATACTAGTGTCTAAAGGGGAGGTCGATAATTGTGATAGTGATAACGACACAGCATCCATTGACACAGATTGATGTAACAACGAGCTGTAAGTCGGGAGCTTGGACCACCTACTGTGTTTGTCGACAGCGACTTATAAAAAACTACACCGAACAGGGTGAAGCGAGTATCTTCAGGCTCTCGCTCCCCAGAGCTGGTAGACCCAGCCTGAAGACCACCGACCATGAGACCAGGCCTACTTTGGAGGAAAGAAACAGGAGCCAAGCACTCTCGGTACCAACGGCAGAACTATGCTGGCCGCAGGTTGTACCCAGTTCGGCAACCCAATCAGTGAAGGAAATCAAATAGAATGGGATGCAAGTCTGTTCTGAGGCTGCCAGCGTCAAGGCCACCGGACTAGGCTCTAGTAGGCCTCGCATACCCGACTCCAAGAAACGGCAAGTGAACAAGTTTAAATGGTATAACAAGAAACGGGTGAAGGCCATCAAACCAGCTGTCATCACTCCACAGAGCAAAGACAAAGCAGGACTCCTTGATAGGTCTGTTATCTCCCACGGGTGGGAGAAAGCAGAGATCCAGAACCACATAAACGTTTCGGATATGACCTTGGAAAGTACGAAGTTCGACAAAACCGGCTTTTACCTGAAAGTATGCCAGGAGTCACCTTAATCAAGACATCTACAGCAGGCAAAAGGGGGACAGTCGTTACCGAGAACAAGTTTCAGTTGCCTAAAACCGTGTTCAAACCGACAGGTGAGAGGAGTCAGATTCTGAAGATCTGTGGTGTTCACTTTAAGAGCTCTGGCTTTTGCCCACCGAATCAATAAACGGGAAGCAAAAGGAAAACTAAAACCCAGAATTGCCTTTATCACACTTAACAATTATTATATCATTGTCATTTTGTAGATTATGAAGAGCTGAATTTTCAAGTTTGGTTGAGTTTCGTTCCCCTTTTTTTGTCTTTTTCGTGCTAACGCACGCCATTCTCTAACCTATTCTGCAGTTGTTGCATCCACAGAGCTTAACGCTACTTCAATGCTGGGTTTGACATCCTAGGGTTTTAGATGACCCACCGTCGCGCCGAAGTTTAGTCCTTTCTTGAGTACTTTCGTCTCAGCTGAGCTTAAGGTTCACGTGGAGGGACTGACCACCCACTTTGTTCTATCGATGTTTGATGATGTTTTATATATAGTTTGATTATCTTCTGAGGGGTAATTTTCTTGCACCAATTTGTTGGACTTCTTGATTTGACTATTTCTGGATCAGTTGAAAGCAGCTGGTCTTGATTTATCTGATGTTTGTTATAGGAATTCATAGTCTCTGTCGTTCTACTTCTTCATAAGTCTACATGTCAGTCGTTCATTTTTATCACGGATAGTACTTAACTTCCTGATAAGCCTATGAATTTCTTCCTTGAGATAGTTTGCTCACATGTTTTGTTGCTCTTTCGATGATTTTGTCAGTGAATATTGGAATACATGGACGGAGATATTTAAGAGTAATTTGATTTTTCGCACAACGAGCACTAAAATAGTATGATTTGTGGAACGTGCTTCAGTTTGGGAAAGTCGTGTGAGTATACTGACTAGCCTTCAAACAGGAAGACCATACCTTTCATTATTATAGGTGTAATCTATCAAATTCCGTGTGGTGACTGTGAGGTCAAGTACATAGATCAAACTAGTCGGTCTAGGTCAGTTAGAATGGCCAAACATAGGAAGTTAGCTGAATATAGAACGACATATCTGAATAAGTAATCTAGAAAAGCACTTGGCCATTGCAATGTATGCATTACCATGCAACCATACAATGGGGTGGATTAAAATCACTGTACCTGAGTCCAATATAATGAGGTGGAGACAGATTGATTACTGGAAAATTGTTCATCGAACCAACACTCACGTGATGGAAATGACGCAGCGCCCACATCAGAGAGATGGATGATTTTGCTACCAATAAAAAAAAGCATAAGGGGTGACAGGAGTTTAAAACTCAGATGTCGAAAGCAGTGTGATTACACATTGATATGATAATGATCAACAGTACTTTGTGCTTGAGACGTAATCAAGTAAGTAGTACTGTATCACTGTGTGTTATAAATCTTATAAACACATTTAATATAAGGCGAAAATCCACCACATTGCCCAAGTTTTACACAATAATTTTATGTGTTCTTCCGAATACTTGTAAAAACGAATGTTGTTTATCTCTACAACTTGAAAATTGAACTTTTCATTGTGACAGTATCACTTTGCTTCTACTTTCAAACCTGCGAATACAAGGTGCTCCTATCCACTCCAAATTCCGCCTTCCTTAACTACTGTCTCATGCGAATACACATTCATTGTCCTTCGATGTTACAGAATCTCTCATCCTACTTCCAAATATCATGGCAGTTAACCCAACCAACGTGGAATCTGGAGCGCTGACAATTATCGTCTTCTGAACTAACATTGAAGTATACTAAATTGTGGTTGACAGTACCGAAGAGATAATATTGAAGTAACCAAATATAATCCGTAACACTGATATTACTATTTTGTATTATAACGCATAACTTTTCATATTTGTGTATCAATGAATCTACTTGAGTTAATTCTACTTAGCTTGACATTTTGGTTTACTTGACATTTCTTTGTGTTCACTACAGATCCTGATTAATGTGTGCCACTTTTGAAATGATATAATGAAATTATCGATATTGTACCTTTTATCTGTGAATTTAACTTAGAATGTTGTTTATGTAAAGTTGAAAGCCACTCTTATCAATATCACATACAACACATAAGTGAATAAGACTCTGATTCTCCGAAGTATAAGTTCTACACACCATGAAGTCTAGCGAGGAATAAATAATGTCAAGTTCATTGCACCATGCATTCCAACATAAATTTCTTCATCACTTCTGTCTTCTCTCTACGAGATAGCAAACTTATCTCAAGATAACTGATGCATATAAATTAAATTGTAACCGGAAGGCATAATTATTTCAGACTCAGCATTTGTTTGTGGACATTTTCGGACTGATGTGTCACGAAATTCTGATACGTTCCATGTTCAGTAAGCAGCATATAGACTGGACATTGTTCATGTCGGTCTTTTAACACTCTCAGACTGACAAACTCATAATAGAAATGACCATCATCTGGTAGATGATGAATGTCTGATATTGTCTAACCTTTAACATCTGAACTGAAACTGCATAACTTCATCAGCACTCGACAATGTTGTGTAGCACTGGGTTGTTTTTGTGTTCCAGTCACTTTCATCTCATATTTCATCCTCTTTCAACTCGATATTCATCATGCTATGCTGAGTGAATGAAGTTTTACTAGAATGACGAATTAGTCCTTGTCTTTGAGGGAATGCGAAACTATTCATTTTTGGGTGACTTTCAGTTGCTTGATCTCTTTTCCATAGTTCTTATTCTGAGCATACGTCTACTTGCCTGTTAAAGTTTACTCGATGAGTTTCAGCGTTATTCCAAACGGTGGTGTATTGGTGCTTGTCTGCATGTTTATTCCCTCGAATACACTGTTGTGCAGCTTAGCAAGTGTGTTGTTCAACCTTCAAATTTACAGCTAAGAAGAAGATGAGTAGGGTGAATAAACATTTTGATTTTTTTGTATTTAACCAATAATAGTGGAAATCATTTGTCACACTCCACTAAAACTTGTGAATGGCGTTCTTATTCGTATTCTGTAGGAATCTGCAGTGATATAAACTGAAGCTTATATGCCTAGTGTTTCTGCACTGGTACAGTTTGAAGTTTAACCCGAGACTAGGTAAGATTCTACTCAACTAAATTTTTGAAATAATTCCACCCCGTTCATGAATTTGACATAATGATCACAATATTTACCATAGTCTCGAAATCACAACGTTTGTTTTGATGCTTTATTTACAAGCAAACTTAGATATATTCCAAAACGAGTGTGTTTTTGAGTTCCTTTGCCTTTACAGTCCTTAAAGTCTCGTGAACATGATGAATTGAGTAGTTAATTGTACTATTATTCCGACCTCTACGTGACTATTTCAATAATCAATCCTAGGAGTTGTCAACTGGTGACAGCTCGTCAATTTTGCCTACTGATCTAATTAGTGTCATGAAGCATAAGCTGAATAATTCTCAAACATTTTATGGTAGTGACTGTTGTATGGGTTGGAAAATATTTCACATAAACAGTTATGCAACAGAAAAGCGTATGACTTTTATTTCCCAAGTAATTGTTGATGAATTCACCTAGTCTCTTAATGAAGTGTCTGAAAACAAATATTAACTATTGGACTAAGTAAAACAACCGTAGAACGTTATCGCAGTATCACCTTTATGACCCACTTGGTCAGTTG